GCCGGAGTTAAACCATGACATCTAGGCTTTTCTAGACTAAATGAGAGACATTAATGCTGAATCGCCATTTCACTGAATGAAATGCCTTAAATTTCCTCCACAGTAAACTTGAGAAAAATAAATAATTTTTAAAAAACCCAAAAAACAGGTTGGTAATCCAATAACTGTCGTGTCAGAAAATCACAATTTGCATGCAATGTAAACACTAGTACTGGTCCTTTGAACTTAGATTTAAATTAAAAAATACAAACTGAACCTTGAACAGATTGTACACATGAGAATCCCAGAAGTGGAGGTTACATTGTGGAGCATTGTACTCATATTTTCCTGACCTTTTAAAACACATCCGCCAGAAAACCTTGCAACTGAAGAATATGTGATGAAAATGTGACCGTGTAGGTACATTTCTTATCCTCACAACATATTTGGTAATGACCCGGTAAGAGAAAAATATAAACCTAATGTCTTGCAGTTCCTCTCGGTATTTTTCTTCTAGTAAAAAAATAAACTATTCTGAAGGTACATTGGCCACAGTCTGACCTTCATTAAACTTCCATTCTTTGCCCATTCCTTCCTTAAAAAGTTACAGAATCAAACTTCTGGAATAACTGGTGAAAGTTCTTGGAGTTCACAGGCAGTATAGGTAGAGTGCCTTTCCTGGAAACAACCACTTTAGCTTATGTAATGAACACACTCACAACTGCACACTCATGTTATACAATGACATACACGCTTAACAGCCTCACCACCCTTGTTTTTTGTTTAACACCAAGTTCCTAGACAACATTATCACACCAAGGAGGTCATCTCTAAGTGGTTGTTCAATTGCATTTCACAATTCCTTGACCTGAATAGCCTGAAGCCAGTGGGGCTCTGTCAGGGCTCATTCAAACTGAAGCAGGCCAGCTCCCAGAGCCTGCCTCAGGATGTTTCAACTACAGACATACGCAAGATGGTGCAAGGTCATTCCATACCTATGAAATGTTCCTGCTTACATTTCTTCACGAGGTGAAGGTATGCTTCAACCTTTCAAAACTGGACAATGGCATCTAGGCTAGGAAGGGATTTGGGTTTGTTTTGGTATTCCTTTTCTGTTGGGATGTCATTATCTCAGCAGTGAAGAAGTCTAAGTAACTTTTTCCCTCCCCTTATATGCAACTAATATCCTGCAGAAGAACACAGTCATACTGGGGGAGAGGGACTAGACCACTTACACATTTCCTTTGTTCTTGTTTCAGGGACACCGATTGCATCTCTCATGTTCTACAGGACATAACTTCTGTGGAAGTTCAGGCAGAAGAGTATTGCTCACAAGGTAACTTTTGAGAAGGCCAACGTGTATCTTATAAATCAGTTTTGCTGTAGTGGTCTTGGGAATACGTCATGGGCAGAGTGCTTACTAGCTTTACAATCCACCCGTTAGAACGTAGAGTTTACCTTAAAGCAATCCCATGTCTTCTGTTTCTATCTGACACAGCACTGACAACAGTAAAACTAATATGTATTACTTCAGTGATCATGTCTGTATCCATTTATTATCCATTCAGACAGAAGGAAGAAGAGTAAAGTTCAGAATCATAGATAGTATGATTCAAAATCCTGGCTGTTTTCAGTACTCAAGACTCACAAAAAGCATCAACAACATAAATTAATTCTATTTGGTTTTGTTTTTTCATCTTGGGATGAAGTCTAAGAATGATAAATTTTCAATACAAAATATTTGACATTTTCCTTTTCTTCGAAATAAAGCTTTCTTTGACATATACTGTAAAAATATGAGTTCTTCTATACATCAATCCTAACTCATAGGCCAATTCTCTTTTCAAACACCAAAACAGCATTCTTCTTTGGAGACTAAAGAGGAAGCTACTGAATTGTGAAAAAATTCTAACATTCATATACAAATCTGAGACCAAGAGAGAGATTAAAGTAGTAGATATGAGAAAATTTAGACTTGTGACTAAGTAGGCTTGCAGGTATTAACTTTTTTACTGGTTTTTGGTTGGTTGGTTGGTTTGGTTTTTTGTTTGTTTGTTTGTTTTTCAATAACTAACTACATTTTTTTACACTATATTTTTATAATACAGTTTCATGAAAAGTATCCTGGTGACAGAGAGTACTTATGAATAAACTGACTTCTCTGGTGATTTTCATGACAAGTAGTGACATTAGCAGTGTTAAAGAAATCTGCATATATTAAACATATGGATATAATAAAAGGATGGAATGGAGTATATCAGTGTCATGACTTAAAATGTCACTTAAAATAGCAGATTTTACCAATTCAGTTATTCAGCAGTTGCACTGATGATGCACTACCATTACTGGCTGGTAATAAATACAAAATATTTACTCCTTTAGTCAGATGTGCTATTCTAGTTTAAAGGAACTGTTTGCAAGCAATGTTTTAAAAGTGAAATGAATTCATAAGCTTTCTCTTTTGCAAGGGACTAGTATTTTAATATCTTTTTTTGTTAAGAAGCCTTGTTAAATTTCACAAACGTGGAGATCTGCTACTCTTGTGAATACATACAAAGACTAGATTCATTAAACCATATTGGTGATTATTCTTACAACACCACATGTGGGGAAGGGCATTGATTCTCCAGTGACTTAAGTGGCTTCTGCACACTTTGTTTCTCGCCCTAGTCCATTGCTGATAACTTACTACTTTCTGCTGATTTGAGTTTAGGATCTGGGGAAAAAACATGTTTTCTTCTTCCTTTATGGGACATTTAGGACCCAAAATTCATTTTACCTCTCTTAATTACTTCCTCCTTGGAAAAGCAAACTTCCCTTAAAGAAAGAGAACCTCTTAACAGCTGTGTATCCAACCACAGAATTCTGAGCTTTCTATTATGCCCTGTCCCCAGTCTTTGGGCTGCTGCATCAAGTGTGAAGCACACCGCTCTACCCATAAATGTGGTCTGGTATGCCTGTTTTAGAAATTACCACCATCAAAGAGTAGAATGTGCTAGTCTTCACCAGGTACCTGACAGACCACAATGATAGGGTAAAACCAAGCAATTTAATTTCAAAATTGGAATAAATACAACAAAGTTGCAAACATGTCATAAAGCATACATTTACCAGTATGTGAACGCTACACAATTGACTGGCACTTAGGTTCTTAACAAGTATTTCTGTTGAAACAGTCAGTGTTACCATGTCTACTCTGTGCAGGCACAGAATCCAATAAAAAGCACGCTTGGATATGGGTAACCCTTCAAAAATGTGTGAATAAATGTGAGCCATCAAAGTGAATTCCTGGTGGATTAGTGCCTGGGGTAACACATCTATGACATCTTTGATACGGTACTGACAAATTCAAAAGGGTTTTTTAAACTTTATTGAAAGTATCATGTATTTAAACTACGTGGCTCAATGTGCCTACTTCGTTTACATCCACTGAAGATGTGTTTCTTTCCTTGTGGAATGCATTACTACCAATAAGAGCCATTTTCCATTTCCCACTCCATTGTGTATTATACCAACCAACACCGGAACAAAATCCCCATTCTAAAAATATCTTTATGGTTAAGCATACACAGCAGACTAAAGGCAGAAGAGCAGGGTGCTAACTCGTACGCTTTTTTCTCAGTGGAAGATTCTCATTGGCAAAAAGTCATGACATTCAAAGTAATCTTCATTATAAAAAAGAAAAAAGTAGTCCTGACAGAAAAAATGATGCATTCATTTATATGCACAGAACCAACAAAAAGAGTCTGCTCCTAAAATAGCAGCATGGCAAGCCTGTGAATACCCAGAAAGGCATAGGTCAAAAAAGTATATTACTACAGGTGTGAGACCAACACACGAGTTCAGAAACTTGTCTGAACACAGCAAGAGAATACTGAAAATTCTTAGCATGTACTTAAAGGGTTTTTTTTTTATTCAAAAAAGTAATCATGATATTTTACTCCAGAGGGAATCCATCAATGTATTTTAAAGAAAAAGAAAAGAGAAAGTACTGAATGACAGAATCATATTATAGTAACAGCATTGAGTGATAGTATGGAAATCGAATAACTTACAGTAAGTAACACCCAGAACGTATCAGCAGTTCAGATGACAACAGGATAGCTTACCATAGCAATGACTGCTGCTCCAGCTCCAGCAAGTGCCACAATGAACAAATGGAATGTCATGTTTAGCTGCAGAGGGGGATAAAGAAAGGGACTTTCACTAAACAGAAACTGAACACAAAGTCAAAACAACACAGAGCAAATAATTTCCTTCCTGGTGCCGACCTGGCACCTACAAAAGTAATGATTACTAATAATTTTTCCAAAAGGTTAACATCTCTACATGACATTGTGCTTGTGCTTGTTTTGTTACAATATGCATATCAGGGATAAATCATAATTCTATTTTAAAATATAGTATTTAAATCAAAATATTAAGAAAAATAGTTATTTAAAAACAAACACCCCAGCATTAGTTTTTTGGGCTTTTTTACTTACAATACTACCTTATCATTTCTACAAATGCTTGTGATGGTTTCTCTAGTGACAGACACAGCCTAAGAAAATCCCGTTTCCCTTCTTTAGCTGTAGCTTTCCATCCCCATATATTGATATACTTCACTCTTAAATTTGCCAAGTAAATTTGTTTATACTGCTCTAATGTAAACCAGGTTACTTAAATAATCCAAGTTACCCCCCTCTCTGACTCCACCCCAAACCAAACGATTACATTTGGGTTTATTTTCAATGTTCTGGTTTACACAGCAGCCACTGAGTGTTGACTGCAGAGCAAGGGTTACATTTTCTTAGATGTTTTTTGTATAAGGGCAGGTTGTGTACCTACACTCTAAGCAGACGTATTCGTACATAGTAAGACCCAGTGAAACATTTAGCAAACACTCCAGACTTCAGAGGGATCAAGATTTTAGCCTCTCTTTCTGTTTTAGATACATCTAATTTTGCTTGTCCTTGCTTCATCCCTCAATATTTGAAAAAGAAAACCAGACACTTCAGCTGCAGCAAAATAGGTGTCCTTTGCCTAAGGGAAAAACTAAGAAGAAAAATCTACCAGTTTTTATTATCTCACTGAAAGATTTGGTCAAACCCATTTGAAATCTTTACTCTCCTGTCACAACAGTAATCATAAGATCTTCAAACACTGATTCATTATAGAGACCCATTCATTGTGCAGCAGGTGCATTAGCTTTCAAAAGTATCTCAGTAAAAATATACATGACAATGTAATTCTTAAAAAAAAAAATACGACTGCATTTGTATTTAGAAAACAAATGGTTGGAGAAATTTCACTGGCAAAATTTAGTATGTGATAAAAGTCTAGGAAAAGTACTTGCTGACTGTATTTTCCCATGAAATTTTATTACATCACCCTAGCTAGAATTAGAACATTAAAAGAAGGAAGAAAACACAAATCAGTTACTTCATACTGTAACATATATTATGGATTGCCAAAAGTAATATCAAATTTATTCACCTCATTAGAGTCACACATCTTGATGAAACTTTCCGATGTGGTGCAAACCTTCTTTTCCTCTGCAATAGTTACAATACCTGGACCAGAATAAATATTCACAGTATTTAGTACTCCTAGTACATAGCAGCTTACTTCATATGAGCTAGAAAAGCTAACAAATACAAAATCTTCTCTGCTTTCCAGAACCTTTTTTAACAATAAAATCAGGTTTTTGTTCATGCTCCAGGGGCTGGAGCCCCTCTGCTATGGGGACAGGCCGAGAGAATTGGGCTTCTTCAGCCTGGAGAAGGCTCCGGGGAGAAACTTATAGCACCTTCCAGTGCCTGATGGGGCTACAAGGAAGCTGGGGGGGACTTTTTACAAGGGCCTGTAGTGACAGGACAAGGGGCAACGGGTTTAAATTGAAAGTGGGGAAGGTTAGATTGGATATCAGGAAGAAGTTCTTCCCAGAGAGGGTGAGGAGGCACTGGGACAGGCTGCTCAGAGAAGCTGTGGATGCCCCATCCCTGGAAGTGTTCAGGGCCAGGCTGGATGAGGCTTGGAGCAACCTGGTCTAGTGGAAGGTGTCCCTGCCCATGGTAGGGGGGTTGGAACTGGGTGGTCATTAAGGAGCCTTCCAACAAAAACCATTCTATGATTCCATGAATTTCAGCCATCAGAAAAGCAACACATCATCTTTTTAGTAAAAGCTCTAGTAGGAAACATACATACAGTAATTTTTCAGACATTTTTGAAAACATCTTCTTTCCTGAATTCGATTAGCACAATTATCAAAACCCCAAAAACTTCATTGCAACCAATATTTATACTTACCGTGTCCCCAAACATACTTTACCCTCATGTAGAAAAATATGTTACATATTGTTTTCAGACATGTTGAGCTGCTACATCTCTTCTTTCACAAGTTATAAAAAAAGTGTCACCCACACATATATTTTGCTGTAATAATAGTTTCTCTGTGAGCAAGAATAGAATCTGCTGTGTTGTATTCCTTTTCCTAATCTTGAAGGTCCCTTTCAAGCCAAACCATTCCATGATTCTATAATGTCCAGGTAGGAAATCAAACACTAGCTTGCAAACTACTATAACTCGGTTATTATGAAAAATGGTACTGTTCTTTCCTATTAGTAATCAGCAGCTTTTAGCTGAATTTACAGGAAACAAGTATGGTCACAGAATATGCATTTTACATGTTAGTGTTCTATGCAAATTTTTAAATAGAATTAATAATAAAATAAAACTCAATACTGTTAGCAAAAGTTTATAAAAAGACAAATGCATACTCTTGATGAGATGAGATCTGTACAGATAATTGCTTTTTTAACTCACTTGTCATGCTGGGGGTTGGAGGGGGAAGAATCAATACTTTTTTTTTCTTTGCGAAAACAATAATGTGAAATATTTTGTTTCAGGTTAAGTGAAATGTTTAATATGAAACAAACTGTTTCATTCCCAAGAAATACAGCATTTTAAAAATAACTCTAAATAGCAATTTAAAATATGGGCAGTTTTATATTAGGTCAAGGCAACAAAATAAAGACTCGAGGTACTACCTTATAAGAATAGCACTACCTAAATCTCTTTGGGCTGAGAAACCATCGAGGGCAGAACATTTAGATTCAAATCAGTCTTGTGGCAGAAAGGAATTGAAATATCATCACCAACATGAGAATTCTCAGACTTTTTAAGATTCCAAAACCCCTTTTATCCAAATTTCCCATCCCTCTAAAGGACACATATGTGTACATCCTGACTTAATTCTAACCTTCATAGTTCAGACTTTAGCTCTGCTCCCTCTCTCCATCAGCCTCTTAGTGTTATTATTTGTGTTGTTGCTCTTCATCAAAATTTTTGCAAGCAATCAGTCATGTCCTGTCCCCATTCACCTCTAGGCTTTGCAGAGAAGATGGTAACCTAGGATCTCACATCTGCAAATCAATGTCCTACCACAGGGTTAAAGAATCGTTCTCCAGACAAATTACTAATTAAGCATTTTAGACAAGTTCCAGCAATTCCAAAAGAAGAGACTATACAGAATCCTCATCCCAAATTTTTAGTAGTCTAGTAAGATGGACAATGTTGATTCAATTTTGTCAGGCCTGGAAATGCAGAGCATGTCTTACATACTGACTTGACTACTGGGAAAAAGGGTAGAAAAAGGTGCTTCACAATTGTTTCAGAAACACTGAAACAGTGCATTTCAGATACATGGAAGCACAGCAGTGTGATGCTTTCTTTTGTGAAATCTTGTTTTATATTTAGTGCTCTTCATAAACATACCGTACTGGCGAAGATCCAGGCAGAGATTAGCTCCATCTACTACAGTGGCATTTCGGCAAATGGTCCACAGATTGAAGTACATGTAAACAGGCAGAGAAGTGAAAGCTGTAACACCAAGCCAGGCCAACATAAAGATGTATGTCAGCATAATAAACTGCAGTAAAAGAGGGGAAAACAAAGCCAGTTGTAAGTCAGATGTTAATTGATACTCCATTGCAAAAAAGGAACCACAGTGAAGTGAGAAATACATTTCTGACTGGTTTTGTCTGTTTCTGACCTTATTTGAATTCCAGTTTTGGTCTGATATACAATTCATGACCTGGCCAATGTGAGTGACAGGCACTAACATGATGTTTCTGAAGAACAAGTAGTAATGCTTCCAGAAGGGCAAGCTTACCCTACATTCCTGTCATTCTTGGGCCTATGATTGATGCAAAGCACCACATCTGAAATATAGACAGCTGCATGCTTTGTGAAGCTTCTCTCTCTCTCTCGTCACCACTATTCCAAACTTTAGACAAGAGGCCACATGGTTGTTTTTTCCACTATCAATCACAATGCAAAAAATCAGAATGAAATACTACAGACTTTGCTTGCTTTTGCTTTTAAAATTTGGGTCTTAACAAAAACATGTAATTATCCATAGCTGTCACAGAATCTCACTGGCAAATCCATTTTGCAATGGACCAATGATACAATATATTTGCCATTTGCTTACTGTATTTAGACGTATTTTAGGCCCACATTCAAGTGATTTTGTCATTCAGAACAAACTAGGGTGCTTAGCTCTGTTAACAAGAAACGCGTTAAATTACATGGTTTGCAACACGTGTTCTCCAAAGGCTACACATCTTTTTTTTTAGCCATAAAGCTCAAGAGTACAGCAATCTGCCTGTAGAAGTCATTGAACTCTACTTGCCTTCAGGGCCGGTAGTTATGCTGGCACACCCAGCTTCTGTAAATATGTAAGCATGCTACGTTACTACTCTGCTGCTAACCTGAGAAAACTAGCAGATGCATTCAAAACCCTTTCATTTTATGCTGTGGAAAGGATATGAAGGTGCTACATGGTTTGATGTGGAAGATAATCAGTCTCTAAATGTTGAATACAAATAGCCCCAAGAGGTAATGGCTTCAGAAATGCTGATGGATCTAAATGTATTACTGAAATAAAAAAAATTCAGCACACTAACATTTTTTTAGCTGCTTACCACAGAAGAACATTGACTCTGAGAATATGAAATAAGAGCTATTTTTGAAAGCTGAATAAGCTGGTCCACAGTCTGCTTAAAATTAGGCCTTAGAGAGTAAATAAGGGGAAGATGGAACACATTGTCCAGGGTTGTTTTTTTTTTTTTTAATGTAGTATCTCTCACATCAGGTCATAAAGAAAAATCCTAATATAAGTACAGATTTCATTTATGGAAATCAGGTAAGGACAGACTCAAAATGGTTGTAAATTGTAGTAAAAAATATTGGAGGGTGGCTTGTCCATGTTGACCTGATCAGGAAAAGCGGTCCAAAAAACAAAAAGGTTTTAATTTTAGGTGAGGTAGTTTTATTACTTTGAAGGTATAGGATGGACATTATCAAGCAATATTAGAGAGACCTTAATTTGATTTACTTTAACTCACTTCCAAAGAATATTAAATAAAAGCCATTTTAATTCTGAGGAAGTGTATTTATGTGGGGACTTAATGTAGTTTAATTAATTCAGTTTAAAATTCAATTCAGATTAATTTTCCTGATTGTCCCTAGGTAGATGAGCCTTTCTGCAGTAGTTTGAAGAGCTGGAGAATTTATAGCACTAAAAATAATTATTAGAAGGATGCAGAAGAGTAAAGGATAAAGTGCAATAAAAAGTAGAAGTATTCTGTTAATACTATGGGTATCTGCTTTCTATTGTTTTCTTTATTTAGGACTCAACACTTGAGCTTTACCTGCCAGGTTGTAAGTTATGAACCCTTTTAACTTTTCCCTTAACATCAAACTAGTTTAAAAGGGAAACTGATGTGTCTAATTTATGTTTAAAGATTTTGAAAATGTATTCATGCAGATAATGGCTGTCTTCCTTTACAACTTTTCCCAAAAACACACTTACTAGAAAATCAACTGACAAAATATAGAAAGTGATAGCAAAGTCTATAATAAATGTATACCCTTGAATGTTACGGTAGACTTTTCTGTGTGCCAGTTGCTTTTTATAATGGAAATTCTATTCCATCTAGTGCAGAGAAAATAGTCAATACAAGTAAATACTGTTCTGTACACAGTCCTCTTTATTTTTCATTATTGCTCCTTTATTGTTCTGGGGTTTTTTTCCTCTCCATATTACAGTGCTAAAGCTAATGAGACAACATCTGGTTCAACCCCAGGCACTCATTTACAAATAATTACTTGGAAAATTACTTGGAAATATAGATTCACTTCAGGGCTATGAATCCCCAACTAAAATGCTCTGACCTTAATTTATTAACAAGCTAAAGCATTGTACTCAATTTCTCTAAATCAGGAGCAAGAAATAAGAATAAAGGGTATTCTGTGCATTCTCAGAATAGCCTTTAAATTCTCAGTTTACCATATTCTACACGTATTTTAAAGGTAAAACCCACATCTTAGATTGTATTCTATGAGTTTGCTAAAAACTGGTAAATCTGAGGCCTTACATTTGAGCCTCCTTCTAGAATTTCTTAGCTAAATAACATTTAACGAATTTAGTACATAGTATAGTACATGCATAATAATTTAATGGAGAACTAAATATTTGATAGTTATATTACTGAACTCTAGTAACTGTTTTTAAGACTGACTTCCACACAGATTCAGGAATCTTCCCATTCTGTGATTACCATCAAATGGAGCAAAAAGATGAGCCTTACTATGAGCATCACAATTCCTATTTAATATCTTTTTATTTTCTTATCTCTAGTAGGGATGAAACTCTGTAGCCTTGCTTACTTAAGAAGCTTGCTTAACAATCTGTGCTGAGATAATACAAAGCATTGGTATAGCAAAGAGGGGGAAAAAATAGGGCTTATTAAGGTCTAAAAAAAACCCTGCCTTGGGCATAGATTAATAGCAGGATAAATCTGTCAGATGATAGATGCCAGAAGTCATAAGAGCTGTCTTCTTAGAGACAACTGCCTGATTGTTTATGGAAGAGATTTTCTTTTAAAAACATCAATCTCTCTGGTTTATTATCTCAGGAAAAAAAGTTAATCAAATGTTGATTTCATTTTAAAAACCTTTTTTAGAAAAAGAACTTTATTTTTTCTCTTTCAGGTACTGTTGACTGAAGACTCAGTGACCAGTGATATGCCCAAAATCACCAAGAAGTGTTATGGAGGGAAAAATAGAGAAATTTCCTTTGTTTCATGTAAAAATAACTGAAATGCAAAACTTCATATTATAGCACTTGGTAGCTATGAGTTACTCCTGGAAGATATCATGGTGAAGCAAACCACAAAATGTGATCTGGGCAATAATATACTTTCTGCCGTAGGGGCAGTCAAAAACAAAAGGTTAACCTTGCACAACAAACTATTAATTTCAGCCACAGGAGATGTTAGCTTATAAATTCTTGTTGTAATGGAATGAAATTGTGGATTTTTTTTTTTTTTTTTTAACTACAGCTGAAGGACTAAAGTAGTTTTTTTAGATAATTTTCTCTGCTCTTCCAATCTTCCCTCTTTGCTCTAGAAACCTTACAAGAAATGCTTAAGGAGTCTGTTCACTCCAGGAATTAAATTCAGAACTTATTCTCCTGAGATTCAAAGGGATCCTTCTCCTTTGAAGTAGCATTCTGCTACGTGACAAGCCAAAGACTTATAAAATAGCAGTACAGCATCTTAAAGGGCTAACACAGTTTCTTCTTTTTTATGTATTGCATTGGTAGTGAAAATTAATTTCTCTGATCAGTTCAATTTTCACTCTAAGAAGCCAAATACATAAACCCAAAACAGACTGGAAGTGATAAAGACATCTACAGAACCATGAAGATAAAAGTTCACTAATCTATACTCAGTTCACATTGGGGAAGAAGAGATAAAGTAGATAATCATTTGAAAAAAACAATCATTAACCTCCTTAGCAGCTAATTTCTTATACCAACTCCATGGCTGGTGAAGCCCTCTTGCAGTATGTTATAAAGTTTTCATTGCTAGTAATGGCTTTCCTGAATCATAAATTATCAAAGTAAGCAAATCATCAACCCTTCTGGAAAGACATTTCTTAGAAAATCTGTGGCAGGGATCAGTGTCAGGAAGTTGAGATTCCAGACCATGATCTGAAATAGCTTGTAAACAGCATAACAGCTTTTGTGGTGGTCATAGCTGGTTGAAACCCTGTTTCGACTGAAAACATTACCCAAATCCTATCTATTTTAATAAGGTCAAGATTTTTAGTTCCTGCTTCTTTTTAAAAATTTATGGGTACTAGTCCCATGAAAAGCACATTAATTTCAAACACTGTTCTTGTTTTAGTTTTGTTATACATATTTTAATATCCCTGAAGAAACATTGTATGATTGCTTCAGTGACCCTAGGGACAGAGACAGTGAGAAGCATATCTAAAAAGTACTGTTGCTAGAGAGATGGATTGACATGGAAACAAAGTAAACTCCATTTATTTTATTGTATGATGACACTGCTGTTTACTAGGAAAAGATAATATAGAAACATAGCAACAAATTCAGGAGTGCCTGAATAAAACTTAACTCCAGAAACCTCACGTTGCCTGGTAATTTTATCTTTGTTCCAAACCACTCAGTACTTACATATACACTTCCTCTGAATTTAGTCATAGACTTGTTTTATATGAACTCCCTGACATGAGCTCTCAACCCATAGAGTTGTAAGATGTACACCTTGCTGTATTTACATCTCATTTAGATTTATTGTCCTCTCACACACAACTTCATTGTTTACTTTCAGCTTGATGATCTAAGTCCTTTCCAAACCTCTTCAGAGGCTCAGCCATTCTCTTTGACAGTCTTTGTCAGAGATGAAAACTGCATCAACAGATGACACATTCTTCCATCCTGCCAAAAACCTATTATGATTCACTATGAGACCCTACCAGTGCAGAACATCACCGGAAGATGAGCCCCAGGATTAGCCTGTCTCTAACTGGAACACTGGGAGGCACCGGACCTCC